AAATCAGTTACTTGGGTTAAAACCCCTCTTAATGGGTCCACAGTCCTATGTTTGTTTACACTCATTGACCTTTACAAACATGGATTCCAAATTCAAGACCATGTTTTTCACAAAACTTGTGTTTTAATAATTTCACAGAAGTGCGCAACGGTTAGATTATTACAACTATCTATTTAGTATTTTGTTGATACACAGTATATGTGTTTTATATGGAATTTCAAACTAAGTGTCACATTATGGGAGTTTAAATTAGGTATATATAAAGTAGGTCACCTTTTGACCTCTGCACATATCTATTGTGCATTGAGGAACAAACTTATATAAAATTGACACCCCCCCCCCCCAGCTGAAAAAACCCGGGAAGACCGTGGCTACTTACTTTGTATGCTCCATGTGATGACCACTTCTCTCAAGACAAGCTTCAATGGACCCCTGGAAATTTGAATAACCCTACTGCACGTTGTTGCGTCATTTCTTTCCACGTCCTGTTCAGCATTGAGCGTCAGCTGTTCGATTGTTTGTTGGTTGTTTCCTTAGACTCTGTGCCTGCCAAAAAAAATCCCTAAAGGAAATAATTGAGGGATTATTGTTTGATATTTTTAAGGATAGAAAACTCGAACTAACAAATCAAAAAGTTATTCTGATCATTCCTAAAATCGACTAGTCGGCCAAGAACCTAACCCCCCCCCCCCTCACCCCCAGCACGAGATGTGTCTACAGGTACATGTATAAAGATCTTACCCTCCCAACTGCTGCAAGTTTTGCTGGAGCTCATGTCCTGTTAGGTAAAATCAGTCTTTTTGATTTGAGAAAGAAAAGAAAGGGAGACGGGGAGAAGGGGCTCCTGACGCTGAATAGACCTCGGGCTGTAAGGAAATATGTCAGGAAGAAGGAGAAGAATCTGATTAGAATCCCAAAAGTCCACGATTAGCTTAGAAAGTCACTAATAGCTCAGTGATCCGTCACTGCCCTCAGCTGAAATCCACCGCAACCCTATTGTGCTCTTGAATACATAATGGAACTCTGCTTCGCACATTGAAAGCCCTCACAAACAAGGTTAATTAACCATTGACCATAATCTAGATTTAATAGTGGTCGCTCGTTACGAAAGTCCTCCCAACCACGACAAAGCGTAAATATGCCTCATTATACGTCAACAGCGAAGCATCTCAAAGCACTCTCAGGCATGAATGCTTGAAATCAATGCCCCCAGAACAATAGGAACCACTGAGAAGCGCCTCAAACTAGGCCGTTTGAGATCATTGGCCCCCTAAGTTTTCGACGCGAATTGCTGGGATCACGAAACAAATTACTTCCGCGCTCCCCCAAGACCTCATCCCTCCAGAATTGAGCTCGTCCTGCTGTGATCGCTCAGTGCTAGCACACCTCTTATCCGCGCGTCCCGCAAGCCACAGCATGGAAAGTCTTCTTTGATCGATAGCTGCTCAGGGCCAAGGTAGATTCATTTGTGGCAGATCATCATAATGAAATGATTGGTGTCCAATCTTTATAACTCCAAATCTCCAGAAAAGAGTAATTGCTTTGCTTTGTTTTGCTTTGCTTTGCTTTGATTTGCTTGTCATCAAATTAATGCTTTGCGTTCGTATACAAAATGTGATAACTGTCTAGGACATTCTTTGAAAAATCACGTGAATGTCAGGAGTTTCAAATTATCAAGAATTGTCATACTAAGAGAGGAATAGTAACTAAGCAATGCCAATTGAAACTGTTATTTTCTAACTTACCGTTTCGGCGCCCCACAGTCTATTTTTGTTTCCTCTGTTCGTTGATTGTTTGTTTTACTGAAATAAGCCTTTCAGCGTAGAAGTTGCGGCTTTGTGTTGTAATATGGCGTTAAAAAATAAGATCATTCGCTTGAGCTTAAGCTAATGAATAACCATGGTGTTATTACCGACAAATAGACAAATACTAATATACAGAGAGAAGAGCGGGAGAGGGGGAGAGCACAAATAATCAAGATTTTTACGACTTCACACACACACACACACACACACACACACACACACACACACACACACACATACACACACATACACACACATAGAGAGAGAAAAACATCGGAGGTTCCACCTGGGAACATAAAGCAGATTAAACTGACCTCTCAGCTCCTGACAACGCGTCGCTACTGTATCTCAGCCAATATTAATTCATCCCCGACCTAAATACGAGAACAGTTTAAGATAACCCAACAGCCTTTCAATGTTAACTCATAGGGACCGTGTATTGTGGACATGCGACAACGACCGAAGTGAGCTGTTTTGCAAAGTATTGACTATGACGTCTTAATTGTGTTTTTCCTTATCTGAGACCTTAATCAACAACTAATACCCCCCCTTCTAAAAAAAACAACAACAAACACCCCCCAAAAAAAAAAAACAAAAAACGATGAAGATGATGATGATGATGATGATGATGATGATGATGA